AAAGCAATTAAGAAAGCAGGCAAGTGAGTCAACAAGGTTAGAAAGTCAAGTGAAAGAATTGCAAGATAAGGCGACGAGATCACAGAGTGAAATTGCAGCCTCAAGAAATAGCGCATCACAAAATGATGTAACCCGTTTGAATAATAAAGTAACCACAATTGAAGAGGAACTGCAACGATTGCAAACCAGAGTAACTACATTTGCCGAGCAACTGCAACAATTCCAAGCCAGAAGAGGGTTGTTCTCTTGCCTATGCTCCCGGCACTAACTTTCTTTACTTTATTACAAGCTATGTGTATAGCTAAATTGATATGATAGATATTAGAGTATGATTGATATTCCATTGTACTGTTAGTTATTATTTCTTTTTTAGCTGTCCCATTACTTTTTGCTACTTAATTCTTTTTGCTTTTTTCATCATAAAATTAGATCTAGTACGCTTTTTATTTTGCTGATTATGTTTTCATTTGTTCTAGCTGCAAGTTACTCTTTGTTTAGTTGTTTTATTTTAAAAAATACTTTTGTAAAAAGCAAACGATTGCACAATACTGCAGACCTCATACAATGTACTGTAAAGGTGTCATGCTATTGTGAGGTCTACATGTACAAACAATTACTGATACTGAAGGTTCATTGACATACAATAATTCATTTTATTACAAGAGGAGCCCCTTCCGGTTGCCATTTTACCAGTACTATAGTTTAATCAAATATCCACACTACATAATATTTGAGAGGAATATGTACATGTACAAGATAAAGGGAGAGTAATGTGCATGCATGGTATCATTGGTATCACATGAGAGTACATTGAATTGAATTCAGTGTGGATGAAATCATGAAAACCAATACATGTATACTGTATGTACATGTACATGTACATACAAGTGTCAGACTGAGAGGAGATAATGCATGTACATGATGTGCATAAGACTATTAAATATTAATATCACATAAATATTAACTACTACATCCACAGTATTATTAAAATCTTGCTCCTTATTAAACTGGTTGCTGTAGGCTGTAATTTGATGTATAGCTGCTGATATCAGTGATTCAGCATAATTATAATAAACCCCGCCTTTATTAAAGTTATCACACGTGTTCTCATGCTGTAGTGTAACTACGTCATAAAAATATCTGTGGTGTTTCTATAGCAATTATATTATGTCATTGCAATCCTATTGCGCATTGCATTATTGGATCTCTATAGCAACCTTATTGCGTCATTAAGTAACCACGGCAATTCGGCAATACTTCAAAGTACATGTACATGTACATGCATGTATGCTATTGCTGCTTGTGTATATTATCATGTGTTTTATTACCTCTCTCTCTCCCCCTCTCTCGTACTCCCTTCCTCCCTCACTCTCTCTCTCTTACATGTTAAGGTTTGTGCCAGGTCCTGCTCGTTTTTCTCCAGGTGTGTCCATTGTCATATTGAGTGGTGGGCGGAGACAATTAGACCTCACAATCTATAATTCTATATATTCAACTGATAGCATTTTAAAACTTTATATATTTGTACTGCATTGTAGCCAATTCCTCATCGATCACAAATAATATTGATAATAATAATAATACAGCAGCAGTGATAGTGCACCTCCATTTAAACCTATGCTTCAGCTGAATCTAAGTCTACATATACAAACAAGCTTGAAGTACTCATGCTTAAAGTTCATTAACATGCCATTATTAATTTTACCAGAGGAGCACCACTGCGGGTTGCCATTTTACCAACCCTCCAATCATCCATACAATACAATGTTTGAGAGCATTAATATGTAGGTACATATACAAAATAAAGGTAATGTACATGTACTTGGTATCATTAATTGGTATCACATGAGGATAGTTAGCCTGACTAGTATCACTGTATCCTGCTGGGTTCACTAGCGGCTACTACTGCTAGTGATACTGATACTAATATCTATACATTCTTTGTTAACCAATGCATATACGTGTTTTCATGTTGTGTAGAAAGTTTGAGTGGATTCTAATCGCAATTGGATTTTTGTGAATTTTTAAAACTACAAATCTACCGATACATTGATCAGTATCGCAAGTTTAGGAAGCAGGTATAGTTATCATTAGGTTATAGTATAGGTATTGTATAGTAGAAATAGAAAGTATATAGTTATAATAGAAATTAAGAAACAGGTAGTTGTAGGATACAGGTTATATAGTGTAGGTATAGGTTATAGATCTAGGTTTTATTATTTATTATTATTATTTTTTATAATTAAATTTATTTTTAAAATTTATTTGTTATTATTTTATTATCATTATTTTTTATAATTAAATTTATTATTATTTTTAATCATTTATTATTAGTATTTTTTTTACCTGGGGCCTCAGGTTTTTATAATTTTTGGGCAGCAATGTAGTGCGGCCTCCACGTGGCACTGCCTGGGATCACTAGTGGTTACTACTGCTAGTGATGCTAAGAGCACTACAGACAAGAAGAGTATAACAATACTAAAGGTAAGCTATGTATAAGGATTGTAATATTATCATTGATAGGATCAAGCTGAAGTAAAGATGAAATATCAAGTGGAGTAATACTCAAGACTGAAGCAAGAGATTTTATATACTAGTTTTAATCTTTTTTAAAAAAATAATTTTTTTAACTTTTAATTGCATGTATTTATTATGGCGATTTGAAATGTCATTGCCTGTTCTACAGTTAATGCTGTGCAGTAATGCTAAATGAGCCACCAACACAGACACACCACATTATAATGAGTGTATGGAATATCATGTTGTGTAGAAATTAAAATTGTAATTTGTAAGGTTCCAAATTTATGTTGAGATGTGCATGTATCTGTAATGAGTTTAATAAAAGTTACGACATGTCATTAAAATGTATATTAATAATGTATCATTAATTTTAAAAATAAAACTGTTACAATAGTACATGCAGATCCAAATCTCGTTCATCGAAGTGCTATTATAAATTTATTTTCTTTACTGTAGCTGGTTGTAGCTTCACCTTTCCAATATGGGTCATTCCGCTAGTGGTTACAATAGGAATCATACTGCTGGCAATCATTATAATAGC